GTATATTATGGTTATACTGTAGAATACTTTATTTTAGCTGGAATTAATTTTTACTAAAAAGACTTTACGTATTTTGTATGGAATTTATTTTGAAAAGTTGAATGAAAAATATAGGAAAAAAGGTATATTCGTTGGATTTTATTTTCACTGAATCATTGCTTCAGCAAAATTAGCGAAAATTAATTCCAAGCGAAAATAAAGTATTTTACAGTAAGATGTATTGTAGTTGAATGTCTACATTTGAATTAATTTGCATATGTTAATTAGCTAATTTGAATACTAATTAACTTATTCAGCATGTTTTGTGTGATTGAATGGCCAACACTGTGGAAGAGTGTGACCAATGCAATTTGTTTTCACTGTGTCTAATCTGTACATTTTTATTTTTTTAATGTGACAATTTGTTCTTCTTGCAACTCTTTGCATGTAATAATTTATACCTCTAAATGTCTACTTTGCAATTTCCAGTTACATAGTGTTAAATGGTCAACCCTTTTTTGAGTCTTTGTAGTTACCCTGTCTGTATGTGTATGTGTGTGGTGTGTGTGTCTGTCCGTTCCACTGATATCTCAAGAATCGTATGTTGGTTTTTAATGAGACTTGGTGTGTAGATTCTCTGGGTCAATGTGCAGATTTGATTAGGTTTTTGTTGAAAGCCATATATATTCATTACCTGATTTGCATGATAATTCGCGAATTTTTAGCTGTTCCTTGATTGTTCCACTGATATCTAAAGAACCATTCATTAGATTTTGATGAAACTTGGTACATAGATGCTCTGGACTAATGCACAGATGTAATTAGTTTTGGGTAAAAATCCATGCATATAATTAACCTAAGTTGCATAATGATTAGTAAATTTTTGGCTTTTCTTCTATATTTAATAATATTCCTATTGTTTATTTTAAGGTGATTGGTTGTGAATTACCTGCAACTATTATATTGGATGATCCAGCAGGCAACAGTTATCTTCAGGTAAGTGATTGGTTCACATGCAGTCAATATCAATCCCAATCAACTACTATTCAACCATTTTGTTTTAATAATCTTCCCTTTGCTCAAAGTGCTCTGTGCAGGATATTGTAGTGTTATCACCAAAGTGCTTTGTTTTACCACAACACTGGTCTAACACCATACTGGTCTGACACACCACCACAGTGTTTTGTTTTACCTCCAGACTGGTCTGAAACTGACAAATTAAAGATCCTGTCCCCCACAATATTTGTTTTACAAACTGATCTTTCAGAGAGATTTCTCTGTCCAACGGAAGTCACTGAAAAAACTAAAGATGATTGTGATACATGGAGATTTTCAATGGTGTTTAAAACAATACAAAACAAAAATGAAATTACTTTGCCCATGAAAATTTGTTGAAAAATAACAAAATTACAGCTGTAAGCATGTTGGAAATGTTTTTTTGTGCGTGATTTTATCATTTTTTCAATAACAATATCAGATTACTTATATTTTGACGAGTTATATACAATCTTTTTTTAAATCAGCAATTAAATAAACATTGTGTGGCATGTAATACAAAATTTCTTGTCTCAGTTTATTGCTGAGTCAGCATATCGGAATTATTGCTGTTTTTAAGCAACAATACTCCTAGAAAGTTCCAGGCTGTTTACTGGGGCCTACAGGCATGAAACCTGTTTTGTATGTTGTGAGAGTTGAACTACCAGTTCCTAAT